AGTATACTTAAGATGATCTTAAATAAAATGGACTATAAGTACCGGCTTTATTATTGCCAGTGATAATTAAACACAGGGAAAATTTAAAAAATCGATCAGACTGGCAAAAAATTGATCTCTATTTAAGTCACGACGGTTCGACCTCGGACGAAGGACTCGATAAAGGGCCGAAACCTTGTGACTTAAATAAAGATCACTCTTTGCCAGTCTGGTCGATTTAGAAAAAAAATTTCCCTGTGTTGAAGAAATAAATTCTTTTTTCTTTTCTTTTTCTTAGAAAGAATTATCACGAATCTTACGGGAAAGGGAATTCCGCAGTCTTTCGAAGGCCGGTAACTTCCACGATTTCGAATATGAGGCGCATCTTTATCCTACACGTCCTCCGCATTTCGTAGATAAATGGCGCGACTATGAAAGACGCGCTATATTTCGACTCGTCGCGCGGAAGAGTTAACATAGGAAAAAATATCACGGCGAAGTGTCATTTCATTATTCGGCGAAGCACGCGTCGCAACGAGGGTTTATTCTAGACACACTCTTCGCTCTCGCGCGCGAATTCTTTCAGTTCTCGGTTTCCAATTTCTCGCATCGTCTTCGACAATATCATCGCAATCGCGTCGCGCCAATATTGCAATCCCTTAGGTTCGAGGAATACAATTTGTGCGATCAATAAGAAAACCGTCAAAGCGGAAGCTCCCCTGCGCTACGAAGCTGGCTTTAAAACGACAAGGATGTTCCGTGGGAAGAAACAATGTTGTTGGATGGTCTTATCTCTCGCTTTCCGTCTTTCTCGCCTCCCTTTTCTTCCTTCCCAGCCTGTTATTCTTTGTCTTCTAAACATACGACACTGCAGGTAAACGTTGAACCAACATTGTAAATCTCCGGTATTGTTTGGAAGCCGACTAGATCCTAGAATCCACCTGTATTGTCACGTAAAACGAGAGGAAAAAGATGTTGAGCGTTTAAAATGTCGGGTGTATCGGAACTGTTAGAATATCTGGTGAAATAGATGAAGCTCCAGCGATTTTCTGATGTGCGCTTTTATCAGGTATTCGATAGATTCAAATATTTTGCATAGCACTTTTTCAACGCCTCCTTCCCATCCATCTTTCGCGATGTATGGAGGAATGAGCCATAAATATTTACGAAAGTTAGTAAAGCGCTGGATACCTTTTTAATTGACATTTCCTAACGTTAAGCGAAAAACCTTTAATTTAAATTGACGCAAATTTATAAATTCATCACTCGATACGTGCGGTCGCGGCGTACAAAAAAAGGGCAGGAATTTTTACGTATATTTCTATTTGTATTGCATCCTGCTGCATTTTGTCTTTTTGCTTCTCTCTTCATTTTTATCGAATAAGGCGAGTTTCGCACAGGAGATCTTTCCGAGTCGTTTTCTTCCATTTTGTTTGTCGCACCGCGATGAAAGACATGTCTTAATTTTCATGTTCATTTGCGATGCATAATGTCGGGGGAAAAGCTGGAAATGCAATGGTAATGACTTGTCGCGAGTTGCGGTTTAAACTCGTTGCGCTTCGAAAGCCATAAAAAAAAATTTTTTCCGCGCAAATATTACGACAGCGAGATCAGCTCTCTGAAATGAAATTAGCTTTCCATTTCCAACTTTCTACCTTCAGTCCCCCGCTTGTACCTCTGACAGATGTTATCTCAAATTTTAATTGAACTTTATTATCGCATTAATTATTCGCTGCATTAGTTAGTAAGAAAATAATTCATGTCGCGCTTCGGCTGTCAGAATTAGTTACTCGGAAAACGATTCCTATTTGACTTCCGATGTTATTCAGATAATCTCTCTCTTTTTCATTTTCTCTGGATATGCGTTCGCCGACATGTTCAATTCTTTTTATACACAGACGATACGACATAAGGTAAATATTTTTTTCCCCGTTGATACGCAATTAGCGTTAATCTACGTATAATATTTGCTTTAATTGCCGGAAGATTACTTACGCTTTTGGCGTTCTCGGTATTGGATATTTACTTGCTACGATATCTCAAAGCGAGGCAAAATACGGAGCGTATATTTTGATATCGTCCTGCGTCAAAGCTGCAAATCTAACGTCTACTCGGAATCGATCAAACGCTTTATTGCGAGGAGAACTAAAAAGATCTCTAAATTCCGCGGTGAAAGCATCGTCGTGAAAGCGCCGCGCGATATAACAAGTTGCAGTAACCGTCGGTAGCCATGGCAAAAAAAAAAGAGAAGTTGATATGAAAAAGCTCGTGGTACCCAAATAAAATTGTTCGCCTGTAATCGAGTCCTTGAGAGGAAAAGCTGCGCCGTGGAAAACCTCGAAACGCCAATATTCGTCGGTTGTGCATACGTCGCGTTTTCCTTACAAAACTGCCTACGTAGAAAATCTTCAGAAATGCGCACGGAAAAATATTATATACGAATTGTATCAATTTAATCTTAGTTTTTAATTAAATTTCTGGCTATATCGCGCGAAAAGGAATTTCAACAATAATACGTGAAATAGGACCGACGTACGAATCTACCGTATAATAATACTATATCCGTGTGAATTTTTGTACATTATTTCCAACTCGGTAAAAATTTATCAAAAATTTGTGGATTTAGGTCCGGTCTCACCAAGGTCGTTTAAGGGGATGCTGGAGTGATTCTGCACTTTTGCACCTTTCTAACCTAAAAACTGTCAGTTCGCGGAAACATTTGTGTAATATACAAATTGAATGGCTTACGTGTACAGATCGAAAGCAGCTTGCTATTCCGGCCAAATGAAGGAACAATATGGCATCACTGAAACTAAGTTTGTAAGTCTAATAAAAAATAATAGTGAGCAACACACATGCTACATGTACTGTATGTATGTGTTGCTCACTATTATTTTTTATTAGACTTACAAACTTAGTTTCAGTGATGTCATATTGTTCTTTAATTTAGCCGGAATAGCAAGCTGCTTTCGATCATCT